AAAAAAACATTTTCTTAGTTATACATGGGCACAATATCTTTATTGTGTTTATTTATTTTTATGTGGTGCTGAGGATTGAACCCAGGGTCTCACATGTGCAAGGCTAKCGCTCTACTACTGAGCCACAACCCCAGACCCTGGTATTTTAATTTTTAACTTTCATTTTTAATATYTCCATGACTTGTTTTGCAGCAGAGTATAAACAGTATGCAAAGAAATGTAAGACATAGTCTTTGCTTTCAACTAAAGTTGTCAGTAGCACAATACATTTGAATACATGAAATGAAGAAAGATGAGTTTAAGCCTAGGTGGGCTCCATGAATCAGCTGGGATTTGTCTAGGAAAAATATATAATTAAGTAATTAAGGCTGCTTTCTCCTTAATTTTAAAAAGAACAAAACAAGCAAACAAAATCTTATCCATATATTGTTAAGGGAGAAAATTTAAAGCTATTTGAATTTTAGAGCTTGAATGGGCCTTTGAGATCAATCTAGCAGGGATTTTCAAATTATTCCCTGGATCTCTCCACAAATGTAAAGGGAAGGAAACCCCCTAATTTATTTTGCTTTGAGTAAAACCAAAAAATACTAAACTTTGGAATTACATATAGACTTTTAGTCAAATCAGTCTCCTGAATTCAATCATGAAAATGTCAGTGCAATTTTGATAAACAAGTAATCGGTAGCCATAGAATCCTACAGGCTTGTTTTACATTATTTTATTAACTATTTGGAAGGATATAACACAAACTACCAATTGCGCTCACAAACCTTATCAACAGCCCTATAAAAGATAACATAATAATACTYTGCATTTCCCCTGTGCCTAGGAGCTAATTGTATTTTACATATATTAGCTCACTATTTTATAGACCAACCCTGAAGGTACATTTGGAGTTAAGCTAATTTTATGTTCAGTTTTCGATAACAAAAATAATAACTTCCTGGGGGCCACACAAAACATGGAAGCTCATTTCCAGAACTTAATCAGAAACAGCTTCTTCTTTCTTTTTTAAATAATTTTTAGTTATTGATGGACCTTCATTTTATTTGTATGTGGTGTTGATAATTGAATCCAGTGCCTCATTCGTGCTAGGCAAGCGCACTACCACTGAGCCACAACCTCAGCCCCAAGAAACAGCTTCTTTATCCTTTAATATCAGGCTATCGAACGTATCTGAAGACGCACAATTTCCGAGGAGGACTATAAGGCACAATAACGTAGCGTACACTAGTTAGGTGAAATTCGAGAAATCTAAACTGGGTTAAGAACATCAACAAACAGACCCTCGCGCCAGATCTTCTTGGACTCCAGGTAGGCAACACAGAGCTGGACAGGAAGGGCGCCGGCCCTACTGGTCTCACTCCCTACCTCATGGAGGTTTGGAATTTGCCTAAACCCCTTGCGCGGGTGCATTGCCTCACCGTGAATCGAAGATCAGTTCCCCTCACGCGGTGACTGCTACTCACTACCAGCAACCGAAGCGCTTGTCCCGCAACTGCAAAGAAACCTCAGGTCGTATGGCAGGAAGCTACTCAATGCGCAGCCGTCGCGGCCTCCAACCACTGGTCAGCAGAGGGGCGCTAGGCCGCCTCCGACCCGCTCACCGTGGCCAGCAGAAGTAAGTGATCAGCCAGCCTCGGCGCCGCAGCGAGGAGCCCAGGGAAGTGGGTAGTTTCGTAGGTCATTGCTATCCTCTCAGATAATCTTGTCTTAAGAGCAACCTCTACTTGCCTTTCCCTGTCCTTTTCTCCCCCGTCCTTGCAGTTAAGAATGGAACAGTCCCGCGGGGGGGATTGTGGGAGGCGCACGCGCGAGGGGTGGAGGGTGGGGGGGGCCGGAGGCGGCGGCGGCGGCGGCGGCCGTGGCGGCGGTTGGTGGCCGTGGGGGCGGGGAAGGGGGGGAGGAAAGAAGAGGAGGTGGAGGAGGAGGAGGAGGCCTGGGCTCGCGCCGCCGAAGGTACGCGTGAGGGCCTGCGCCACAGCCGGCTTGACAGGGGCCAGGGGTTGTGGGGGACCGCGCGAGAAGGCGCCCCTGAGCGAGCGCGTTAGGGCTGGYAGGCGCGCGGGGCGGCCGAGGTGGTGGTTGGTGGGAGCAGCGAACGACGAGACMAGATACACTCATACGCGTGCCGACGGGCGTGCGCGCTCGGCGGCCGGAGTCAGGTTGGGGGGAGCGGTGGGGAGAGCGCGAGGAAGGAGGAGTGGGAGGCGGGGGGGGGCACGAGGCGCCCTTCGCCTGCTCCCTCCTGAGGAGCTGCCGCCGCCGCCGCCGCCGCTCTGCCGCTGCCGCCGCTCCCGCCGCCATTTTGGGTTCGCTTTGCGGAGGGGGAGACGATCCCCTTCTCGTTGCGGGACCCGCCTCCCCTCAGTTTTCCTCCTTTCGCCCTACGCCTTTTCCTTCTCCTCTTTCGCATTTCCGCCACTCCGCTTACCCTCTGACCGCCTCCTGACAAGCAGGAGAGATCCGCTGTGGACTAAGGGAAGCGGAGGCGCCTGGCGGCCACCCCCTCTTCCCCACTTCCCTGCACTCTCATCGTTCTCGGCCTCGGCCTCTGACACGGTGAGTAGAACGGTTTGGGCAGGCCTCTGGGCCTAAGCACTCTCTCGGCGGCTCCGTCCTGGGTTTCCTGGGATCTACTGTCATCTCCCGGACCTGGATCTCCAGGAGAGCGGTAGTAGGGATGGGGGAGGGGAGAGGAGGGCAGGGGATCCAGAGCCTACCGGGAAGTCCCTCCAGGCGGGGGTAAAGGGGTGTCCCTGACAGGCGGGCTCCCGACTTGAGGGAGGGGGCGGGAAAGTAAGCCAGTGGAGGCGGAGCYGCCCGTGCCCCTGACAGGTTGTGTGGATCGGCACGGTTGGAGCATCTCCCGAAGTCCCGTTTGTGCTTGTTCAAGGGACATGATCTTCAGAGGCAGTTTACCTGTATGGCAAGGTCTGGGGTGTCCCTGACACGCCGAGCTGTATGTAGGACCGACAGAACGGTCCCACTGTTAGAAGTTTAGTAAATGTCACTGGTTAGTTTGTACATGGAAAGAGATGTTTTTGGTTCAGAAGACAGATGGTCTGTTGGTGTATAGCGGCTGTGTTTGTGTGTGTACGCGAGGATGGAAAGTGCTCCGGAAGAGTTTGCTTGTGTTTCTGAAAGTGTAATGGAGTTCCCCTTATAAGTTAGCTCATTTTTAAAATAAATGTTGGGATGTTCCTTGCAGGTTGATAAGTGTGTGTGTTTTAGAGTTGGGGAGCACGTAATTACCTGTCGAGAAAGAATAGTTATGGCATTATTCTRGACAATAAAGCGCTTTAGTGTGGGGTCAGAGGTGGGGAGAAACTTAGTATGGCCAGTTGTGGTCTTAGGAATAGTTTGTGCCTTTTAATGATTGATTGGTAGGTACTAGGTATTGAAGCCAGGGGCGCTCTACCACTGAGCCCCATCCCCAACCTATTTTATTTCTCATTTTGAGATGGTTTCGCTAAGTTACCTGGACAGGCCTCGAACTTGTGATCCTTCTGCCTCAGCCCCCTGAGTCGCTGGGATTACAGGCCTAAAACAATGCGCCCGGTTAGTTTGTGCCTTTGAATGAATTTTGTAAATGTAAACATCTTTAACAGAATTATTAGTCTAAGACTATAAGGATGGGTGACCTTTTTTGTTGATGTGGGTTTATAGTAGCACTTTATATTAGTATGAGGAGTTTACATTTAGAATGATTTTTCATTTTATTTGTCATTCTAAATTTCTGTAAAAATGGTGGAATAAATATTTTGTCCCATTTTACAAAAAAGGAAATTGAGGCATAAAGGTAAGTTTTCCTAGGTCACTTGGTAAATTGGTGACAAAGTTGGGAGTATAACTCAGATTTTTGACTACTAATCCAATAATATATTCACTRTATTATAATTAATCTAGAGATCTTTCTTGGCAAATATGAGTATGTTGGGAAAATAGGGGAACCTGTGACTGGTTGGATAGGCCAATAGTGTCAAAACACATATATGAAATATATSTTTTCCTTGCCAGCCTGACCTGTATAAAATGGGTATCCATGACTATATTGTTTTGTGTTTATGGAGAAAGCAGAGCATTTCTGATACTTCAGAGTGTATGTTTGAGGGAAGGATGGCTTTCACAGCCTAACATGTACCAGAACAGCTTCAGGGGTGCTGACAGTTTAACTTTGTTTTTTGGTACTGGGGATTAAACCTTGCAGCAAGTGCTCTGCCACTGAGCTTTACCTTCAACCAGACAGTTTATCCTCTTTCATTCATTCAACAAATATTTGTTGAGTTTATTCAATAAATGGTTCCTGCCTTTCAATGAGAATAATGAAGATGCCGTTGTTGAAATAGCTTGTGTGCATATGAGGGTAGTTGTCTTGACAGTCATATACACTGAGTTGAATGAGCAGACAAGTCAGTGTGGAATTGAAAGCAGAAAATTTTTAAAAGTCTATTCAGAGCTGTATTGCAAACCTGTAACCCCAGCTACCCGGGAGACTGAGGCAGAAGGATTGCAAGTTAAGAGTCCAACCTAGGCAATTTAACAAAACCCTATCTCAAAAAATAAAAAGGACTGGAATGTAGCTCAATATAGAGCATTTACCAAGCATGTCCCAGTACCTCAACAAACAAACAAACAAAAAACTATTTAGTTTGGAGGTAATTTAGGTCTTCTAGACAATTTAATGTGGAAGAGTATGGAGTATTTAAAATCCAGGGCATCCAGTTTGTAGTAGAGTGTGTCTTTGGCATTTTCTTTTGGCATTTATGAGTAAACTGTTTTTGGGAGTTGGAATTGTTGATATATGTACTTCTGGATATTGGAACTTCTTGGCTGGGTTGAAAGAATTCTTCGAAAGACAAATTTCATAGTAAGGATCCCCTCTATGAATAAGAGGGAAGAATGCTTGAACTATGTCAAATGAATTGTGTTCCTTTGAAATGCATTGATATACTAGATTAGTGGTTCTTAATTTTTTTTGGGGGGGGTCACAGGTACTTCTGAGCATCTGATGAAAAACCTCACAATTGAAAAAGAGCAAAAAAAGTAGTTTTGTTAAGCAGTACAGTATTGGTATGAGTTTAAGGTGAAAGATTCTGTGGTAATATTTGAGCAGAATGGAGAGAATTTCAGGCTGTTTTTGTAGGAGAAACGCATAACTGACGTCTGAGAAAGTAGGGGAGGAGAAGTGAATCAATCTTGTATAATGATTACTAATTGAACATTGTAAGAGCATAAAGATCTTCAAAGAAGATTGGAGGGAATACAAATCTCAAACAAGTAGACATTTTATCTAACTTAATGATAACAAAGGGTATGATGCTAAAGGGCAATCACTTTTTAAGCCTCGATTTAGAGATTTAAGTTAATTTTATTTGTGTGTATGTATGTGTTTGATGGAAGAACGTTAGGTAACTGTAGAATGAAGATAGGATTTTTTTTTACTTTATCAAACATTTCTTCTTCAGTTTTGATATCAGTTAAAAATAAATTGAAATAATGTAGACCACTTAATGTGATGTAATGCATTCTTAAAACATTGTTACTTGGAAAAAGAAAAGAAAATTACACTAACAAGTGTATTGTCCAGAACTAATGAGTTATTAAGAGTCTTTAGTTATGGCAAAATCCAAACAAAAACAAGAAATTCCTTCTACTTGTGTACTTATTTATGTGTTCATTTATTCAGTCAACTTAAAGTTTTTCCAGTGCTTCCTTGATGCCCATTTCTGCTTAGTGGTAGAGAAAAGATGTTTAAAAAAAAATTTTTTTTTTTTTTTTTTGGTCTCTCAGAGTTCCCAGTCTAGAAAGAGGAACATTTTAACTAACATTACAATACACTGTAATCATTTGTTCACAGTGGAAAGAAGAGAAGGTTATTAAATCTGAAGGGAGAAAGGAAAGGTTAAAATAGCTTCCTACAAATGGAAAGATTCAGAGTTTAAAGGATAAATGAGTTATTCAGTAAGGCTCAAAGAGGGCAGTCTAAGTAGATGAAGAAATCTGCGAAGGTATAAAAATGAATGTAACGTAACAGATGAGTTTGATATGATTTGGATCAGTAGTATATTTTCAGCTCAATTTTATGATTTCCTGTATCTTTGTACTGATAAAGATGAAAGATGTTCAGCATATTTCACTCATACAAAAACAGTATATTGTTACAGCTAAAGATAATTTCTAGCAAAGATTAAAATTAAAAAAATATTTAGTTTTACTCTGGAAATTCTTGCTGGAATATGCCCCACTTCCTCAGAATGTTAGTTAATCCAGCTTTGATTTTAATAGGTATCTAGTTAAATTGAAAATATATGAAATATGGCAAATTTCCCCTTCATTTGTTGAGAATCCCAGATAGTGATTAAGATTATGGATTCTGAAATCAGATTGACCAAGCTTAAATCTCAATTTTGCTAATTTATTGACTGTATAATCTTGAGCAAAGTCTTGTGGTCTTTGATTTCCCTGACTGTAAAATGATGGTAATGATTATAATACTTATAGCATAGAGTTGTTGAAAGATTATGTGGGCAAATGGTTTAAAGTGCTTTGTATAACGTATGTCATGTACCCTTAGAGCATAATACATA